GAGAAAGTGGGACAGCCTTGGTTCTTTCAAGCAGAAGATGACATGAAGCTCAAACTCAGAAGCTTAATTTATACTTCTGCCCTGAATCTTTATATAAATAAAGAGTAGTCAAGTGACTGACTCCATTACTAGACACAGTACAGTGCAAAAGATTTGAGCCACCCTTTATTTCTTTATATTTTGCTGGGAAAATGGCAAATAGAAGGAGCAATTCATTGAAATGAAGGCAAAATCAGAGTTTGCACAATTCCTTGAAAGTCAATATCTGTTATGACAAATAATACAACGCTAACTGAAGTGTCTTAGGTAGGATTTCTTGTCATTTCTTTCAGTCACAGTTCTCCAGCTCGGCTTTGGATTTGGTTCCAGTCTGTTTTTTGTTAAGAGCTAAACGTTTTTGAACCACGCTGCTTCCTGTGTGTTTATTTTCATTATTATATTCATTATGCTCTGAAATGAAACCTTTGCTAATGAGATACTTTCCAGGTGGTATTGCATGGTGAATTTACAACTGATGGTACTATTCACAATTTAATGTAAAGTGCCACCAGATTTTGATAAGCTCTCCAAAACCTGCAGCTCCAAATGATGATGGAGCCTCCACCTTATTTTGTAGACAACTTCCACAGATTTTCAGCCACTTGTTGAGTAATTTCAAACACCGGAGCCTCTTCTTCCCATTTCCTTTCCTTAAAAAAGGTTTCTTGATGGCCGCTTGTCCACTGAGACCATTTCTGAAAATTCTTCAGAAAATTACAATCACTGGTGTGAAAAAGTAGCAGATGTCCAAAGAAGAACTTTGAACTATTGCTCAAGAGCACTTTAAAAAGTTGCAAGAAACTCGGGCTCCTTGGAAGCAGAAAAGGGCTGGCTCAATTGAAGGACTGGACCGATTCCAGATATTTCATCGACTGAAAACCTTTACTGAATACATATGAAGTGAATGATATGAAGAAAGTAGTGCTGCCAGTGTTAATCTCGTTAAAATGGCATTAATGACATCAGGGGCTGCACAGCGCTAACGTATTAACGAGCTTAACGCGCTGACGCCATGCAGCACTTGCATGGGGCGATCCGCGTTAACTCGCTAACAGAGATTTGCCGTTAATGCGGTTATGGCGTTAACGGCATTTTAACGAGATTAACGCTGACAGCACCAGAAGAAAGAGAAACTTTTGAAATTCCATATCAAGCAGCTTAAATCCCATCACATCAGTATAGGAATCGTTGTTCTTATGGATGCGGGTTAGTGGGAAACATGGAAATATTCAACATCTAGATTTTAAATTATAAGCAAATCATTGGTTCCATTATTATTGTGATCGCAGCATTCCCAACTTTTTTGGAAATGGGGTCAATGTTTATGTTTTCCTCCTGTTCATCTTTCTCCACTCAAGGCTGATGATTACATTTCTGAAATTCTGTAAAGTTTGTTTCTTGGCAAAAGGATAGAAAGCACTGTAAGCTTAGCAGATAAAGGGAATTTTAAAAAAAAACAAAAAAAACCGATCATGACCGTGACTCTGAAACAGATGCTGCTGATGCTTCACGCAGCGATGCAGAATTTGTAGTATTTCAGAAATGTGTTCATATACTTGTAAATCACCCTCAGCCCTGACAGTGTTCCCACAAGCTCACCTTGTTGGTTTTTTCATAGCTGATAACTGGT